GACTTGAGTCAGTTGCATATTTTCCAAGAGTCAGTTGCATATTTTCTTTATTACTTCTCTGACCAATGTGAGCTTGTATCTTCTTTTATTCTTAAACTATAAATGGAAACTAAATTTTCATAATGCCAAGTCATTCATTTGATCAACTGGATTTGGTGAACAGGTACTTCTGCTTCTCAGCAGTTTTGCCACAATATTTCACAGCACTTTATGGCATTTGCAAATAATGTTCTCGTAGAAATGATCGAAATGTGTGTTGTGTTTTTCAAGAAGTTTAAGCTCTCAGGCCCTTGGGTCTCTCATCTGTAAAACAGCGTAATAATATCCCTCTGCATAGGACTGTGGAAAGTATCAAATGAGATTACAGATGTGAAATACTTAGAAGAATGAAGAGTCATGTACACATGCAACGTATGCTGTGATTATTATTACTACCATTATTAGTCTTATTTTCTTCTTGTGCCTCAGCTATTTAATCAGTATCTATTTATAGAAGATAAGATAATGCCATCCTGTCTTATAGGAGGTAATTATCTTCCTTCTCTCTTTACCAACAAATTAAACAATTATATTTCAACTTAAAGAGCATTTAATGGTTTTCCAAAACACTTCATTCAAATAGATAATCACAAACTTTCATTGCTACTGTTTGTATTTGAAATTTCTAAGGGATTTTCTCAATAGGAAAACTTAACTAGAACAGTTAAGTATAAAATCATCAAAAGTGATTAAAATATATAATAATGTCATTCTCTATAAAGTGCAGTTGAATTAAAGACACCGAACAATCTTCCCAGCATTATCATGAACTAGGTAAGAAAATGGAGGTTTACAGATGGCCACATGTGAAGTCAAATGAAGAGAAAGGATAACACTTTATCTGTAGATGGAATGTATAGTATCAGATTGAAGACTGAAATGGTAGTTATTTATTCTATTCACCTTGCTTCTCATAGAAACATCTCCCTAGTAGAAAGAATGCTTTTCAGGAGTCAGTTACTGTCAAAGGAAAACCGTATAGCAGCAATATAAATACCCAGGGGGAATGAGAAAGCTGAACATGTCAAGACATTATTTTTCAACAAAATATAGAGTTGCATCACGGTCTAATTAGATTTGTCACTCTTATGTGAGTCCAATCAGATAAAGGAACTCTTGAATAGGTAGAGGGAAAAATGAGGTCATCCTCGTAAGTTTACTTTGGAAAGAAAAGCACTATTTAGCTGTTAAATATTGTAGCCTTTTCATAAAATGCACAGATACACACTGGTATCCAAAAATCAATTTGCTATAATTTTAGAAAATACCAATAGAATACATAACTATGTAAAACAGAGTCTACTAAGTCACTGTGAGTTTGTCCCTGGCCTCTATCAAAAGCCCAGTTATTTCACATTTGATGAAGTTGGAGGAGATGACTTTCAACCTGGTCATTCATCCATTCAACATTATATATAACTATCTATAGGGCTTTTCAGCATTTTTCTTTTCTACTCACCCCTATTCTGTTCTCTTTTTATAATTGCAGTGTGGCTCTATTTAGCTTTTTCCCCGTTCTCAAGCTGCCCCATCACTCTTTCCTTTAGTCATCGATGGCTATACTTTTTTTTTTTTTTGCTTTAATTGAAGTGTAGTTGATTTACAATGCTGTGCCAATGTCTTCTGTACACCAGAGTGACTCAGTTATCCACATATATATGTTCTTTTTTTATATACTTTCTACTTGCATGAAAAAGTAGAGGTCATAAGCCATCAATTCTCTAAACATTTCAGCCATCCATCTCCAAATTTATAGCTCCCCCTTTCACTTCTTTTTCTCATTGTTATAAAGAATGCAGTACTTGTCTCTACTACTTTTTCAAGGTTAGTCCCTTTACTTAGGCTCGTGATCATATGTTCATCAGCAGCTACAACTCCATACTTAACCTCTGCGTCCCTCAGCTTAAGTGTTCTGAATTCAAAAAACATTTCCCTTGAACCTAATTCTCCCTCAAGCAGCTTTAGTTTTTCTTTTCCTCTTTAACTTACTAAACTTTTAAAGAGATGGTTGCACTTGCTGCTATCTCTACTTTCAATTCACTCCTTCACTAATTCTTCTATTACCCCACTAAGATGCTTCTCCCACTGTTCAGCCCAAATCGAGTCATTACAGAAGGGAATTGGTTCTTCTAATTTCCCCTCACCCTCTGCACTGTTGTTTCTGCTCTCTGTCCTTGTCCTTTAATTGTTGTCTTGTTTCTCCTAGAGTTCTGGCCTCAACGTGTAAAAGCCAAATTCATTATGTCATTATGTTGTCCACTCTATCCTGTGTTCCCATGTCAACATCACCATTCATTTACTTGTTCGGGGTCAAAACGTCAACATTCTCTCTGATTCTCCTTGCCCACTGGCTATCTCCCAACATGCACACGCGTGCGCGCGCACGCGCGCGCGCACACACACGCACCATTCTGTAAGCCTATTGCTTCTTGCATCTGGACTAACCTCATCCTACCCCCACTCCCTTGACCTGGGCCTCCATCATATTCAGCCTGCTTTGCTTCTATGAATTTCAACATGATCTATTTCCCTGTAATCGCTTCATTCTATACAATCATTCAACAATAGAGTAATCAGAAGCAATAAAAACAAGAATGCGATCACGTGATCCCAGCTAAAAACCTGTGGCTCTGAGGTCCCATACGCTGTATTCCGACCTTCTTTTTCTCCTGCCACATTTCCCTACTCACACCAACCAGTCATTCCTTAACTGAGCCATGACTTCCCTCGTCCCACATTATCTAAATGTTGCCCCCTTCACCTGACTATCCCTGGCTGGCAAACTCTCCTTCGCTTCTCCTTTGCTCTCATAAATGCCTCAAGGATGGCGCTCACCAGATTTTATTCCAAAGGTCTAAAAGGTCAGCCCTTTTGCCCTGCCTCTCCCCCTACCCCCATGCAGACGGGGAGCTTTAAACACACCATAGCTTTTCAGTACGTATTTTTATTACATGTGAATGAATGAACAAATGTCTTAATTTTCAAACCTAAGAAAATGGGATAAAAATAACATAGAAATAAAGCCAATGGGAAAAGGAAGTTGTTTTGTAGTGAAGGAGAGTGGACGCCATCAATACAATGAATTCATGCTGAATATGTACTAATTAGTGAGTGTGAAGGAACAGTTGAACGGGAAAGTCTAAATTTCCAGAAGGCAATTAGGGGCTATGGATCTGGAGCTCAACGGAGGTTGCAGGGCCAGAGATACTGAGCAGTAAGTCATCTGATGAAGGCTGATAGTCGAACATACATACAAAAGAGTTTTCTAAAGCAGAGCCCAGAGGGTCGGGCTATACTTTGGAGAAATATGTTAAGGGGTGATAAGAGAAGCTGGTGAAGAAGAGGTCTGTGAGCAGTAGGGAAGAGAGCACACAACAGTGATGGCAGCTAGGAGATGAAATGCACCTTGTATTTCCTTTAATAACTGGCACCATGCCTTCTGCTTTATGGGTGGCCAATAAACATTACTTGAATTCATGGATTTTCAGAGGTCAGTATGATTTGAAGATAGATTTCAGAATATTAAGTCAACAACAACATATAAGGAAATATAGAGAATAGATGTAGATCTTGGGGTGGGCTCGGAAGGATGGGCAGAGATATGATTATGCAGAAGTTTTATTACCAAAAACAACAGATAAAAAAGGAGGGTAGATTGGATAGTTTTTGAAAGATGGTGGAGACCTGTGCATAGAGGTAGGTGATGAGATGCTTTTACCTGTAGACCACAAGGACAGAAATTAGGACTTACATACTGTCTTTTTCACTAATTATTTGATCTAAAACCTGTCATTTCATAAGATTATTAGTTATCTGAGACAAGAACTCTGTCTTAGAGTTTTCTTCTCTCTCCTGCAGTTCTCAAAGACAGTTACACAATGTGAATTTCAGAATCTGAATCAAAGTGATTGTACTTTAGCTGCTCATTCCTAGGGAGAAGACAATGTTGTCATTTTACAACCATTAATAAATGGCAACTAAGAGCCATAGGTTGGGAAGTGAGTAAAGCATAATTCCATTTCTAGAATCCCACAGAGACCTATTAAGATACCCTGATGATCTGTTAGAATACCAAGAACAACAGTAGACCCTCGGGAACCCCATACAGCTCCTCTAAGATGTACTGCAACCTGTGCTGAGTTTCTGAGATGGTGTCATGAGAAGATGGTGATGTTATCAGACAAATGCCTAGATGCAGAGGAGGAAAGCAGACACTAACTCTACACAGAGGCAGAGTGACCACCAATGACAGTGCAGGTATTGAGTGAGAGTTAGACCCTATTTAGAAGCCTCCAGAAACTAGGAAACTAATGAACACTACAGTAAGCACAAGAAAATGAGCTAATGATGGTGTATGATCCGCGAATCTGCTTTAATTACTTTCCAAGTTTTAATTACTTTCCAAGCTGTGGCATGTCTAAAATGATATTCAAGTCTGTCTAATGTTTTCTGTACTTGCCTCCCGTGATTACTATTCCCCAAATGGTTTAATTTAGGCAAACCTTCACAAAGATTTCAAATGAACTGGCAAACCAGGGCTAACATCTGCACAGTACGTCAATGGAGATATAGTCAAAGGGCTATACGTGCTAATATCACAGGGACTTGCAAACTGAGTTTAAAGCCTGTCACAATATTCGAAAATATTCACATGGTTGGGTAGCTAAACTCAGGTCCTACATGAATATAAGCTAAAGTTTTAAGTGTAAATGTCTCCATTGCAAATTTAATTCTCTCTTTTCCCAGACAATGTATTCTCTGGGAAAATAAATGTTTCTTATCAAGAGTGACAGATTCAATCTACCATTTATCTTCAACTTGTATAATTTTAGCCACCATCCTTTTTAAATTAGAGAATGATGCAGTTGAACACATATCATTGGTTTTATCTACTCTAGAGGGAAATTTACTTGAGTTTTCTCTAAGCACGCCCTCTTCTCTTTGCTCCCCCTCACACTTACATGTCACTGGCAATGGAGGAGTTCCGGGACATAGACTTTGGCGAGAGGTCATAATCGCTGTCGGATCGGTACAGAAAGGACTCCCGGCGTTGACTGTGGACAAAGTTTGCTTGGAGAATTAGCCCAGATCCCGGGCTGGTCATGGGATCCAAGGGACTCCGTCCAGAAGATGTGCCATTGTCCACATCGAAGCTGTCAATTAAGGAGAAAGAATGACATTGCTGTGAATTGCATGTTAATAGTTTAGTAAAGGGAGACTTCAGTTTAGGAACTGACAATAGGAAAACTTACAGCTGATTCCTGCTGTCAAAAAAAATGGTAATACCAAAATACACAAAAGAAAAAAAACACACTGACTTCATATACGTGTCTTCCTACACCTTTGAGTACCTCTGTTCACTGACCAAATACAAAATATATAGGTCTCTCTGAACTCAATTTCAGTTTACAAGGAGCCATTCTGCAAAGACTAGCTCTCCTAAGTACAGAATTCCTTTTACATAGTAATTCACTAAATATTTGGGTTCAGTTCAACAAGTGCCCATTACATGCCTAATATCCTTGATTCCCCAAACCTGGGCTTCTCCACTCCCACCTACACCTACCCAATCACTAATTTCTATTGTGGCCACTTCCCTCCATCCCCACTGCCAGTATACTAAGTTCAGGATTCTGTCAACTGTCACCTACATTATTATAAGAGCCTTTAAATTAGTCTCTTGAATCCATTTTCCACCTTGTATGATTCTTCTTAAAATCTAAACCTGACTGTGTTATTCATCAGTTCAAAACCTTACAGTGGCTCACTGTTGTCCTCAAGATAAAGTTCACATTTCTTGGCTGAACTGACAGAGTCTTAAGCATCTGTTCTCAAAGACAACGAATGCTTTTCGCAACCTCGATATGCAACACTCTTCCATCGGGAACTTCATACTCCCCTCATATTGAACCACCACCTACTTGTATCAGACTCTCACTACCTAACCTTCTGCTCCCCAATTTCTCAACCCTCCAATCTCCTGCCTAATTGTTATTTATCCTTGAGGACTTAGCCTTCATCTGAAATGCTGCCCTGATACCCCAGAGCTTCATGAGATGCCCTTTCTCTGTGTTCCCAAGACTCTTTCCCACTCCCCACTGATAGCGTTTACAATGAGCTGGAAATAATTACCACTTGATCTCCATTCCTAGACTGTGAGCTCTCTGAGAAGGGAGATTCTGGGTGTTCTAAGCACTTCAGAAAATTTTTACTAAGTGGTTTGAATTAATGATCAAATGAATGAAAGACATGATACTTGGCAATACAGATTTTAGAGTTTGGGGAAAAAAAAGAACCATACATGCCATTCTTAACATCACAGTCTTTATAATCTAGATAAACTTTCTACAAAGAGCTTTTCTAGTCTAGCATCAACCAGTAGTAAAATAAAGTCAATTCTCATGTGTTCTTATAAAAGGAGGGTGATAGCTCAGGATAGCTCAGCAAGTATGTGGTTTAAAAAGTTGTTGAATGAAGTGAACAAATGAATTCAAGTTCAGTTGTTAACAACGTTTTTCCTATTAGAACTTTTATCCAAACTATTAACTGGCTAATTTTAAAATATTCTTTTACTTTTTCTACTGGAGTTACTAATAAATAGTGTTATGACCCAAAGATTGGAGGCCAAACTGGAAGAATTATCCAGGGGCTTGATGTTTCATGAATCACCTATGAATCTATGACCAAAGTAGAACATTGACTCCAAATCAATCCGTCTAGTAAAAAAAAAAAAGGGAAAACTCATAATCTAGCTTAGCCAGTCATAAACATGTTTTTCAATTTAAAATTTTCTTAGAATTTTGTCACTTTACAGATATATTCATTTGGTCCTTACAGGACATTGAGAGATTATCTACTTGAGCAGATTCATTTTACAGACAAGGATACCAGCTCCTAGAAAGGTTAATTGACCAAAGTTACTGAGCTAACTGGATTTAATTATCTACTATTCCTGAAGTTCTCCCAGCTGTAATGCATAATCCTGTAAACCAGCAACTATGACACCCAAACAGGGACATCTGTTTCTTGCGGACAGATACTTCATGCATCTGGGACTTTAACAATCCTGAGAAAGGCCAAAGGGAAGGGACCTCTAATCATTAAAGAGACTTATTCAGGATCTCTGGCAGGCTCTTCTTGGATATGCTTAACTCAATAAGCATTTATTAAGTACCTACCATAAGCACATTGAGGTACAAAAATAAAGGAGATGAGATTAATCCAAGCTGGGATATCTGAGAAATCTTCATGGAAAAGTAGTATTTAAAGAGGGCTTTTGAAGGCATTCAGTATACAGTTGAAAGACATAAAAGACCCCTGCATAGGGAGAGGATAGGGGTGATTTCTGCTCTAAGGAGATAGTGATGGCCGCTCTTCAGCATGAAGAGGTCTTAATGTGAACACATAAAAAATGTTTATGTTGATTCCCCTCCAATATCAAAATGTTGTTACTGTTTTAAAAAATAAAATATGGTATCCTTTTCATGCTATGCAGAAACAGAAATATAGGAGATACAGGAGTACGATTTTTGGCTTAGTTTTTCTCAGTTCAATTGAGGAAATACCAATATTACCCCCAAATCAGAAACTTGCACTTTTTTATTATTATAATCTTTCCAATTAAATTAAGCAAGTCTTGACTTAACAAAAAAAATTCTCCACTATCAGTTTGGGAACAAATACTGATAAGTATCTTAAAATATTTAACAGTTTTTGCGGTAGTATTACCTTTTAAAACCAAACAGTTATTAGTAGGTCATAAAGTGCTTGATATGGGAGTATATGGGCTTCGATACTTTTCTTTGCAGGTTGTAATATAACAAGTTGGCCATTGGATGGAGATCACTTTCTTGAGGAAAATCTACTGTAAATAAAGGTCCAAACTATCTATTTCTTAAAGACTCATGAAAACAACCTCTTAAATATTATCCAAAAAATAAAACCTCAAAATTTACAGGAAGTGATTACCAAATATTGATGAAAATATATTAGCCTAAGAAATATTAGTATTAGCTTTACAAGCAGATTGAGAATGATCTAAAAAATGGTCACTGATCTGTTATTAGACATTTATGCTTACTTAAAAAAATGAGCTCTTTTGTTCAAATATTAGAACTAAGGATCTTTTCTTGGGAGAGATTAGGTTGGGAACACTTCAAGGCAGTACTTCATTCGGTGGATAGTATATTAACTGAGACTTTATTTAGCCTGAAAATATGGATGGCTTCAAATAAGCTGTTCATTTTTGAAACGTAACTTTATAATAAACAGTCAATGTCATGGTATTATTAACAAGACAAGAAGGTGATGAGGGGTAACCCTAACCTTAGACGTTGGGACCAAAGAGATCAGTTGTGAATTTGCCAAAAACACTCTTTGGCAAACACTTTGATATAATGAATCCTCTTTTGACTCACTGCCAATTAGATGAAGCCCAAGTATAAGATTAGCAGAAGTTTAGGAAAGGAAGTATAGATCTGGGGAGAGTAAGAATGTCTGAGACTAATAATGATGGTGAGAATAATAATCATAATGATGATAATAATGATAATAAAGCATTTGAAACACTCTCCAAGCGCTAGGAATTGTGCTGTGTGCTTTATGTACGTTATCTCATTGAATCCCCACAATAACCCTTTGAAGTAGCCACTATATTTTCCATCTGACCAATGAGGAATCTGAGTCATAAAGAAGTGGCCCTATGTTAAGTCACATGTTCAAGGCCATACAGTTTGTCAGTGGGTTTTAAACTCAAACTGTCTGATTCCAGAGCCTGGGAGAATGGCCCCTGTGTTTCTCTCTCTATTGCAAAGCCTCCTCTTACTCATTATAAAAATAGAGAAACATCTCTTAGCTTCCTCACCAGGATAGAACTTCAAATGTTAACATTCTGAACAACTTATGGATCACGTTTGCCAAGGCTAATTCTGGGCCTTGGTCTTTATATGACCCCCAATTTTGGAATTTTCCAAATCCTCTGTTTTTTCAGTTTTGAATACAACAGTAAGGTGCAAAACAGTCTCTGCTGAAACCTTTTGGGTGGGTTTCGTTACAGAGTTTTAGAGTTCATTTGGAATAAGGAGGGATGGTGAGTCTGCAGAAGGTCCTAGCAAATGAAACTAAGCGAGATGCTCCATTGTCCCACATGTTTGCTGTCCTTAATGCAGTTCAATGATGTATATGTTCCCTGACAGAGTTGGCTTTTACCAAGAAGTCATTAGTGGAGAAGCAGCAACGCAGCTGTGCATGGTCCCCAGTGGGGGGCGGTAAAGAGTAATGGCCCTGCCAGCCTGTTGCAATTAGAACTACTGAAGGCTGTGTGCATCTAGCACTACTCAGGACCATTCACTCCACTCAGGACCCTTTAAAAACCAAAGAGAAAACAAGCAAATTGACCAACCAACCAAACTGCTCCCCAGCTCTCTACACTGTTCCAAATCAGTAGAATTACTGGACTACCTGTCGTGATCCACCTTCCATTCAGCCTCTTCCACTGCTCCCACACTTTGTGTCTACTGACCTTGTAATCATCTGTCCGCTTGGGATCATTTCTCAGTTTTTTGGCCTGATGCTACACCCTGCTTCTCTGGTTTACATATTTTGCATCCCTTCTTGCCCATGATGTGGACTCTCTCCTGAGCCGTGGTCCTGCTATCATCCCGGGTGAACAGCTCATCTCATGTCACCTGGCCATCAGGACCTTACACTCAACATTGACCTCCAGTGTGGAGTCTGATGAAGGTGAGACACATGAGGACTCCAGTGGAGCAGCTGCGGGAAGCCCCGATCAACAGAGGTCCCATTATCAAAGCATCTGTGAAGAGCTCCCACGGGGAAGACCCTGGAGAGAACGAGCATCTGCTGAACGCTGGAGGGGACCCTGGAAGGCTCTATTCAAGTCAGGGGCATCTGAGAGCTGCTTCTGTTGCTGTGTATTAACAATGGTGCATTGACAACAGAGATCTTCCCGCTGGGAGATGGGGAGATACCAAAAATATTCCAAAGACATTCACTTGGGAATTAGAAAACGTCTAAATTTCATATCGTGGTTCTGCCACCTTCTAGTTGCATGCTCTTGGGCAGTTACTGTACCGTTCTAAGCTCCCATTCCCTGATAAGGACAATTACAGTATCTAGTTCTAGGGCAATTATA